AAGTAATTTGATGAAGTCCAGGAGGACAAATATGTTTCATCCCTGATGCTAACTTCACCAACCAAAAGTGATTTTCTAGAGAGATTTTTGTGGAAGGTTCTGGGGCTGAGTTCTATGAAAGGAAGTACCCAGAGATGGACTGAATCGAGGCTCTTGGGGTCAGACCCAGCCTTACAGTTAGTAAGTGTACAGTGCTAGAAAACCCTTTCAAGTGTTCTGAAGCTGCCTCTCAGTCTGTAGAGTATGAGACATAAGTCATCCTTCATAGACCCAGTAGTCATTATGGAAACATCAGTAAGAAAAGGTCTACCAACCTTGGACTTCAGGACTTGAGGAAGGGTCATTGAACATGAAACCCTTGCACCTTTGGGATGTATAGTGGCAGACAGGGAGGTTGTTAGTCACCTACACAGGTCTTTCCAAAGGCATATTTTAATAGTGCATGTTATTTATATTTACCATAAGCCTCTACATTTAATGCTACAGGTACGATGGAATATGGAAAACATCAAGCAATGCTCTTTACTCATCTGAAATAAAAAAGGAAGTGACACCTGCCAATAAAGGAGTAGAAATGGACATTGCATGAGGGGGAGCAGATAGAAGGTCACTCACACAGTAAATACTTGACAATAATGAGCCTGGAAATACTAGAACTGTCACCTAACAATAGAGAATACAGAATGGAAGAAACAGTCATGACTATAATTGACACAGATCAAGTCTTCACAAAAAAATTATGCTTGTGATAAACTTCTATAAATGTAAATGGGAGGTGTTCTGACTAACTCTGGAGAATAGTTTCAGGAAAACAAAGATCTCATGAGGTTTCAGCCCAATATTTGGAGTACCAACTTTCAAGTGTAGACCATTAATGAGTCAAGTAAGTGAAAAATCTTTAGTTGCTACTATAACAATAATTTTAACTCACTCTCATCTGTGAGTGCTTACCACAGGCCAGGTACTGAGCAGTGTTCTCTGGAGGTGCATTCGTGCTCCTCGAATGAAACCAGGTATATTTCTACTCCATTTTCTAGGAGTTAGAAAAGCTCAAAGTCACACTTCTGGTATGCAGTGGAATCGAGCCTGCTTGGCCTGCAGCCTATGTTTTCAACCTCACCTATACTATGGCTTTTCTCTAGGAATATAATAAAGATGGGATAGGAATACCAAATGGTTTCCAGAGCTGTGGACCAAGCCATCCCAAATTCCAGCCCTATCACTATTTAGCCCCCATGATCTTGAGCAAGATATGAAAGTCTTTTCAAGACTCAGTCTTCTCATCAGTCAAGTGGGGATACAGAGCATGGTAGAGCCTGTGAAGCACAATTGTGCTGAAGGCTGAGTTGGATGATTAACACAGCAGGCTGTGGGCCATGTCTCTATGTGGTAGGAATTCATTAGTGTCAGTTTACCCTTCTTTATGACAGGGTCTCTCTAAATTTTGAGTTGCACTGGAATGCACTGGAATATTTACAAGGGATCTGGGGACAAAGGCTGTCTCAGGAACTCTCTACCTGATCCTCTGTTAAATGCTTATTTATGTGAATATAGTTCTTACATTTCTTTTTCATAAAATATGATTTTTAAAACTGTAGCAAAACCCCCCTCTGCTAGGATTTTAAAGTTGACATGAAAAAATAAAACTGAAACAACCCAGGAAGTGAAACATTTGAGAATTACAGCAACATGTGAATAATGCCCCAAATGTAGCCATTTCAACCCAGGTAGTACCCTCCCAAACCATTCTGTGGGTTCATCTGTCAGTCTCCCAAACTCCCTTTCATTAGGCTATGCTTCCTGTGAATTATTCTTAAACTGCGTGACTGTGGCTTCCTTCCCATCTCCACACCTTCAGCACCCACTTGGCATCACAGCCAGATGCCATCTCCCCTGTGCCCCCTTCCTTCGGGAATAATCTTTATCAATAACCTGACCTGGGAAACCCAGCATATTTCTTTTTAGTACCTCGACACCAATGCAGATGGGGGCCTTGGCTCCCCAGTGTAATCCCAGCCTGAAATGTTACCAGGAGGCCCACGGCTCTTCAATTACCTCCCGTGGCCTGTCAAGACCACGGCAGCTGAAATTCAGTTAGCTGGTCTTTGGGTCCCAGCCAAGACCCAGCCTCTGCGCCTAATGACAGCCAGCTGAGGGGACCCTAAGAGGGGCTCAATTCAATTTGCAGCCCTTCTAATGAGATTAGGGGAGCAGGGTTTTTTATTTTCTCCAAAGTTTGCCATGGGCAGGGTGAATGATGGCCCAGGGATGAGCTGTCAACTTCAACAAAGGCTGGGAGCTAGGAGAAGGGGGATGGGAGAAGGACATGGGAGCTCAAGAGAGATTTTCCAGATCGAACCAGAAGCCTTGAGTTTTTCCCAGCAGGCGACAGTGTTGGGTGACCAAGTGTCACTCTGTGGACTGGAGGCAGTCAAGAATGGGTCTGGAGGAAAGGCAAACAGCAGTTGTGAGCCACACTTCCCATTCGGGCCTCTCCTGGGCCTGCTTCTGAGTTGTTTCCCACCCTTCCCTTTTCTCCAACAGTTGCAGCAAGAGCTCGGGGTTAAGGCATGTGCCTTTCTCATAGTTGACCTTTCCCCAACCGAAGCACCCACCACACAGTGCTGAGTGTGGCCCTGGAGTTCCCCTCCAGCATCACCCCTGCCCTGCTGAGGGACCCTACGCTGGGTAGCACAGCAGCCCCATCTCAACTGAGAGTCATCAGAGTATACTCTCACTGCTGGGGGATCCCCGAAACAATTTTTTAAGTTGATTAAGAGAAGAGTCAATTACATGCAAATCATGTGGCATACTGTATTTTTTAAACCAAGGCAACTCAGAAGCACCAAGCAATCAAGCAGTGGTTCCCAGAGAGGCCCTGACAAAGCTCTGGTCGTGCACTGGGCAGGTGACACTGACCTCTGACTGGGGCTGGGCTCTGCCAGTACCTCGGATGCTCCCACATAGCCGCTGTTGAGGTGACTTAGAGATGTGGTGGGATGTGCAAACCATGTTTGATAAACGCTTCAGTAGCAGCTGCCTCTGAGCAACTTTGGCTGGGGTGTGAGGCTAAAAGTCAAGGACATCCAGATGAGTGAGATGGAGGCAAAGCTCTTTCTAGAGCCTGTGGTTGGGGGAGATCAAAAAAGCTTGCTCCTAGAACGTACCCTAGTGTTCTACTGCGAAGGACACTGGATTCTAGAAATGTTGAGAGAAGAGACTCAGGCCCTCGTACTGCAGGTCTCTACTAGGTTTTTACTGACAAGTCAGCTGTGTCCTGCTCCAGAAGCCCTCCTGGGGGAGGGCCAGAGCTTGGACCACCACTTTACCAGTAGTGCTTTGAATGCCACAAGCTAACCCATACGCACACGGAACTCCAGGGCCTCTGGCCTCAGTTACCTTCACCAGGTTCTGGCTCCCAACTCACCTGTGTGGTTTCACTGTTAGTTCTTTAAACAGATGATTCTTAGCAGGAGTTAGGACTTGCATGTCCTTCCTAGTATCCCCTAGACACCTGTTTCTAGCTGGTTAACAACCAGGCACCAAGTGTTTTTGTCCTCTGTGTGCTGCCCTTGTGTGTAAAACCAACCCTGACTTCATTTGACTTCAGAACAAGATATTGGGAGTTGAAATTCTTTGTGGGAACACAGTGGACATGACTCAAACAAGGCGTTAGTTGAAATGGGCTCATGAGAAGGTGGGGGATGATTGGGTTGGAATATGAGGAAAGTTAGTCAAGCTCTGAAGTGGAAGACACGCTTCACACAGGCGAAGGCAAAGACAAGACCAGGGATGGCTGCTCTGACAGCATGGCTACTGACACTTGGCATCTGTTCTGGTTTCAAGAAAGCAATGAACTTTTAGATTAAAATTCTATGTGAACAGACACCTTTCCTATGGGATCTTTGTGCCATGAAGTGAGAGGAACATCAGAAGTTCATCCAGAGGCCAGATCCCAACTCACTCTCCTCACCCTTCCAAAGAGGGCGGCAGGTCTGGGTCTCAGTGGGACCCAGAGATATTGTTGGGGGCACTATGCCTGTGCCCTGAATATGTACCTGTGGCCATTCAATAAATCTCCAACCCATGTTTCTCTTCCTTAACTCAGGTTGTGACTGAGGAGAAATAGTCTGAGGGAAGCAAAAAAAAAGATAAGGACAGAGATGACTCAAAACCACCATCTGTCAGTGTCTGACACTTGGGATAAAGGAGTTACCAGGAACCTAAACAGTCTTGGTTCTAATTCTTCAAAGGATTTTTATGTACTTTTCTTTTCCTTTTATTTAATTAATTAATTTTTTTTTCTGGTGCTGGGGATCAAACCCAGGATTTTACACATATAAGTCACATCCTGGTCCTGTGCCTGTTTTCTTCTATGAGAATCTGTGAAAATGGGTACTGATGCCCATTTTAGAGAGGCGGGATCTTAGAAGGTCACCCGAGTTCATGCAAGCTTAGCTAAGTCTGATGTGAGACACTGCAGTGTCTGCTCTTCCCTCTGAATATGGAGCCTGGAGCCCAGAGCCGCTGCTCCCCAATTTCCTCTCCTCTTTCCCCTCTCCCCTTCAGGGAGATCTACTCCCTACCTATGATGCAGGAGCTGATGACCCCATCATGAGAGACATCTCAGGACACAGGGCCCTGGCGCCAGTTCTTTTCAGGGGGTGGGGTGAGGGTGGGGTGTTGCCCATAGTTGCTCAGGGTCTCTAGGGTCACTCCTGGTCATACCCTGCAGTCCAAGCCTGACGGTTTCGATGTTTGAGCCTGGAGATTCAGTGTTGCTAGGGACCTCCAGGGCTGGTGATGGGGATCAAACTATGGCCCTCGCACATGCCACACATGTACTCCAGTTTTATGGATCAGGGAAAGCACCTCACTGCTGTTAAAGAGACCACTGCATGTGGGGTGCAGGGCAGGGGCCCAGGGCGGGGGTTGTAGGCTCCCCAAGGTCTTAGGAAAGAGACTTCAGCTCTATCTTCCCAGTACCTCTCAGTTCTCACCAGCGCTAAGGTTCCAAGATCCCCGTCCCTCGGCAGGCCGGATCTCCCCAGCAGCCACTCCAGTCCCGTGGTTGCCTTTGTTCATCTCTCTCTTCCCATTCTTCTCCCTGTGCCGCTGGAGTCTCAGTCACACTTGGGGGTGGTCACAGGCATTTTCCAATGGAAACGATCAGCCCAGTGCCTGCAGGCTGCTAACAATACCCCGGAGCCCGCCTCTCCCTGGGCAATGCCAGAGCACGGCTGGAGCCTGGCTCTCTTCACTTTGCGCCACATTATCACAGAAAGGTGGATTAGAAGTTATCTGCGCTCTGCTTTCTCTCAGCGCTCCTTGGCAACGCAGCCACCTTGATATAAATACACACCAGAAACGTGCAAACTCTCATACTCTGAGTCGAGGCCTTCAGAGCCAGGCTCTGATACGCCAGGAGCAAGGACGCCAGGAGCTTCCCAGGACACAGGCTGGCCGGCCTGTGGACCTCAAGGTCACAGGCAGCCTACATGGACTAGGCCTGCTCGTCCCTGCAGATCTCTTGGATCTCTCACACCTGCCAAGTGAGATAGTCTTTACTCTCCTATAGCCAAACTTCTCATGGTCAAAGCTTTTTGTGTATTCTTTATGATTCCAAGAAGGGCTTCATTACTTTTCTGCCTTTGTTTTTCCTCATTTCTCTTTGCTGATGTTAATGAAACTTATTCAAGTTGAAATTCCATTGTTTGGGGTCATTAGTTCTTCCAACACCTAAAAGGGAAGAGTGCAGCTTTCAACACCTAAGACTAAAATCAAACACCAATGCAGTTGTACTTTCTAATGCAATGATGTTGCAGGTTGAACTAGTGCAAGATTGAATTGGGGGTGATTCTGAACCTTGCCTTCACATCCCCCAGCATCTCTGAGTATGGCCCTGCTCTTCCCAATCATAGATTGGAGTCCCTCCACAGACACGAAAGCAAGTCAGCCCATTCCTAGAATATTGTACCTCATGGCGTCTCACTAATAAAAATTTTTTAAAAAATTCCCTCTCTCTCCTTTTGGGTGCTGTGGTTTGCAAAAGAGGCTTTGAGTGGCAATCATGTTCGGTCTATAGTCTATTTTCAGCATGCTTCTCCCATCCTGGGATGATCCTCTCAATACCCTTTATTTGGTGCTCCCTACACTGGTTTTTTATTTGTATAAACTGTGCCAAAAAGTGTCTAGTGGTTGGTCAACTTTGAGTTTTTGTAGAGTGACTTTGAGATGGTATTTAGTGGTCAGGGAAAATCAATCTTGAACTATTACATGTTGAATGATACGCATTTTCCTCTCCTGGTCTCATCATTCCACTGACCTCAACCAGAGAGAACCATAAGGGGAGACTTAAAAGACTTTGAGAAAGCCCTCTTCATGGAGGCCCCGGGACAAGATTCGCTGAATGATTCCTACCTAGCTAGTGGCAGTTCTTATCAGATGTAGTGGTGATGCAGCTTTGTCAGACATTTTCAAACTCTAAAGAACCTGGAAAGAAAACACAATAAAGAAAGTCTTCAATGCCAAGTCAAAGAAAAAAACCAGAAGAGCCTAGGCATGTTCATTTAAATATTTTAAATCTGTTTTCTTATCATGGTTGAGGACTGCTTGCTGTCTTGTCTCTTATAAGTGTAAATATTTAATGTGTTATAGCTCTTTCTCTTAGCTGATACTGCTCATAGAAATAAACCTGTACATGCAGAATGTGCATTTTCACTTGCTGTTCAGACTGAGAGAGAGCAAGAGTACCTCAGGAGTGGCCACTGAGATAGCTGCCTCAGCTGCCCTGTCCCCTGTCTGGCTGGCACCTGGTCACTTCTGAACAAAGACCCTTGTGTACAGGCAGCTGGATCTGGGGGTGGGGTAAATTTATGCTTATTACAGTTGACTGGTTTAAGGGATATTGTGCTGAACTGTTGAGAAAAATGCTCAGGTTTATATAAAGGAAATCTAGAAATCTTTTAAGCTTCAGAATGATTTTCCATAAAACATAAGAGTAGAAATTTTTCATTGTTTTTCTCTTAGTAACTTAAGCCCTATTTCGGGAGTTCATCTTTCCATCGAAGTTACCAACAGAATCTTCCAGAAGCACCTGTCTACACTCCCAGGGGAAGGAAGGTTGGCCATGAAGAGGCATGGGGACTTAAGTGCAGGTTATGTGGCCCCTTGTGCCTCGTCCTGCCTTCTGCCTGTCCATTGTTTCTCCAGTGGATGTCCAGGTTGCCACAACCTTGCTCTTGTTCCTGTTTTCTTTTCCTGGTGGAGGGAGCAGGGGGTGGGACACCCAATCTGTGCTCCAGGGTTGCTGGAGGCCTCAACTGATGATTATTGGTCAGGCAGTGTAGGCCTGGAGAGTAGTGCTCAGGACCCATGAAACATGGCTTCCGGGTCAAGCTGGGCTGGAGGTTTCCAAGGTGAAGCAGATGGTGCTCCAGATCCATGTGGTTCCATCAACAGAATTAGATCTCGTTCATGACAGGTGTGCAATTCAGTCCTCTGATCTACCTCCTGACCCCATGGTTCCATTCTTGTTCAGACCTGCCTCAATTCTGTGATTGCTTCAAGCTGGGTCCTGTCGAAGCATTCACCCCTGTCAGGGACTAGCCCTCATTGCTTTCTCACGGGACGTGAAGAAGTCTTGATCTGGGTATATAATCTTGGTGTGTTTTATTTTCTTTAGCATGGGCAGTCACGGTCACGGTCACGGTCCTCCCGTTGTTCATCGATTTGCTCGAGCGGGCCCAGTAACATCTCCATCGTGAGACTTGTTACTGTGTTTGGCATATCGTATATAAACTATTCACATGTTTGTTGTTACATGGTATGTATTTTCCTACTAATCTGTCTAGTGTTCACTTGCTTGTTTGTTCAGCCAAACAAGAACCCAGAGAACCCCCGATCTCCTACAATGGCATTCGAAATTTGATCATTATGATGCTCAGTTTCAATACCAGGAAATTTCTAAGAGGTGCACATAAGCCAAAAGCACTGCCACACCCAGGCATGCAGACTCACGCACACATGGGCATAAGTAAAAATCATATAGAGTCAGAGATAGCCTGGTTCTGCTCAACGTTCTAAGGATGTGAGCAAACTTTATTTGGTTTAGTATCATCCAACTGATGCCTGAGCACCAAGATGTAGGGGAGTGGGAGGGAAAGGTTCTATGGACAACATAGAAGGGTAATTGATATGACAACACCGAAGGGTTATTTATAAGACATATTGAGTTAGACTGTTATCTCAATAAATTAATAATTAAAAAGAGAAAAATAGACACTGTAAGTGAGAATCTCAGACATATTAGAAATAGACATTTACTAAGCAAACATGAAACAAATGCAAAGTTCTATTTTGTGGTCTTATACAACAATATGAAAGACAAATACAAAAGTGCACAGCAGAATGACAGCTTACTAACAACTATCAGGATGCAAGGGATCAAAGAGTCATTTCCTAATAATAGTTATGATGATCATATTAAATGGAGCTTCAGGTTGACAGGGAATCTTGACCTAAAAAAATAAGCATGCAATGTAGTACTTGGAGGCAGGATGTGTTAGGAAATCACAATAGTGCATTTCAGTTCCCGAGATAGTGGAAATCACTATGCCAGACAACTATTTTATGTCCCTCTTTGGATTTTAAGATCACAAATATTCTTCCCACAATTTCCAGTTGTATCTCTCCAGTGGGATTTGGGGGGTTACTCTATAGTCTCCCATTTGCTATTGTGTGGATTTGAAGGTCATTGAAGAGCTTTCCTACATCTTCTTTCATCTTTTGTATATAAAGTGAGAGAGTACTTGTCTTCTATACACTTCTTCCCTTCTCTCATCCTTGGCCATTTCCCTACACCTTAAGATGTGTCATGCACTCATTTTCCCCACCCACTCAACTAATGTTTACCCAGAGCCTATTGGAAATTGAGCTAGGAACTGGAGATGAACACTGAGCACGACAGATAGATTCTGCTCTTGTGAAACTCATAGTCTAATAGAGAGATAACCAAGATGCAAAATGCACATGCACAGTGAAAAGAGCTATATGTGCTGTGTGATCCAAAGCCCCTTTAGTCCCCGGCTGCTGTAAGTCTCCAACAAAGCCCCTCCAGGGCTTGCTTGACTGATGTAGAGAGCTGTCTCCCCCATTCCCAGTGGCAAGGCACAGTGCCTGCTCTCAACAAGTAGAAAAGGTTATTTTTGCTCTAGGGCTTCCAAAAAGTGCAAACTCACCTTCTCTGTGATTTCCTCCCATTAGGCTGTTGACCTGTGAAGCAGTTCAATGGTGCATTAGCAATCAATGCCTCTTCCTCCATCAACGCTTAGAAAATAGTATGTCAGGAAGAAGGAAGAGGAGAGGAAATGACAATCTCCAGAAATCCAGATGGCTGGGGGAGAGTGGTGATGGCAGCAAGAAGCTTGCAGGTAACATACTCTTGGATTTGTGACTTTTTCTTATTCTTGTGATTCAGAGTACTGTATAACCTGAATGAAATGATGTCTCTTAGTAAAAGCCTGAGAAATGTGGGAAATTGAACTGAAATCTGTGAGCCTCAATTCACTTTTTTAATTTCTAACTGAAAAAGAAGGCTTATTTTTATTTACTTCTTTTTTGGGGGGGGAGGTAGTAGCAGAACATCCCAAGCAGTATTTATTTATTTATTTATTATTTATATTTTGGACTTACTAGGCAAATACTTTATTTTTTTAAAATTTTTATTAGGAAAACACCATGAGGTACAGTTGTAGACTTACAAATTTTTGTGCTTGGGTTTCAGTTATACAATGATCAAATACCCATCCCTCCACCAGTGCCCATTCTCCACCACCACCAGTCCCAGTATCCCTCCCACCCCCCATTCCCCCCAACACACTCTGCCTATGTGGCAGGGAATTCCCTTTTGTTCTCTCTCTCCTTTTGTATGCTGTGGTTTGCAAAAGAGGCATTGAGTGGCAATCATGTTTGGTCTATAGTCTACTTACAGCATGCATCTCCCATCCTGGGAGGATCCTCCTAACACCCTTTAGTACCCTGAGAACCACCCAAGCAGTATTTAGAAGGGGCTGGAGCGATAAC